TGCTATTCATCTAACACTGTACTTTATAATTATTTGTGGGTTTAAACTGCTATAGATGTGGCATATAAGTGAGACATACTGTAATTTTTTTTCGTTATGGTTTTACTTGTGCAGTGCCAATGTCTGATAATGTTAGAGGATCTTGTATGTTGATTTCTAGTGACTTAGAAAAAGTAGGCTATGTAAATTTCTGCTTTTTCTCCCAGTTGTAGGACCTTTTTAACCTGCTTTTAAACTTATTTTTGAAAAAGTCAAAAAATCTCATCATAAAAATGGAAAAACACTGAAACGACAATAACAGTGGAAAAAAAATCAATGTATTTGATTTTTAAATAAACTCTTGAGGACTTAATAAAAAGAAATCATCCAATAACAGAGAAAAGAATAATCTTGGCAGTGTAGCAATACACTAATGTAAAGTGACATAATGAGAGCTAACAGAAGACTTCTTGTTCAATCCAATCGGTAATAAATCATATTATTTGTTCCAGAGGGACACTGCTGTGTCTTATACGTCTTTAACAAACAGTAACCGTGCCCCCCCATAGTGGTGTCAGCCCAGTGGTCTTGTGGTGAGAATACCTGCAGGATATACTGTATGTTAACGTAGCTCACATGAGTGTCTCCTACAGAACAATGATGCTGTATCTGCATGCACAAGCACCTCTGAATGAGCTTGTGTTCCAAGGTTCTTAGTAATTTCTAAATAACGTGACCAACATTTCTCTGATAGCCTTTTCTGACTGAGTAGTCGAGTTGCTTAGTTAACACTTCACAGTTAACGTTTGCTTAACTCTGCTCATTTGTTTTGCCTTTGATTTTACATTTACACGGTTTATCAGGCATAGTGATGCCCAGTTTGTGGTTTTGCCACCTTTAAGGGAAGCTTTTACTAAAACTTGCAATGAATATTTTACATTACAAAGAGGAGTTTTTTGAAGATTTGCTTTAATTGAGCTACATTTTGAGCATGAATGGTTTGTCGGGCAAGAACAATTGCATTTAAGTTCAGTCTTTCCCTTGGCCTCTCCAAAAAATTACATGTTTTTAGCCAGTCATAGGTACAATTTTGCTGGGCTACTCTGGGTCATTGACCTGCTGCATAACTCCAGTGTGTTTGGGTTTAAGGTCACTCACTGAGGCCCAGATATTATCCTGCAGGAATTTCTGTCTGAGAGCAGAATTCTTGGTTCCATCAATTGCTTCAAATGCCTGACGCTGAACAGCAGCTCATACCGTCATACTATCACTGCCATGTTTGACTGTTGATGTGATGTTCTGTCTTTGAAAATCTTAGTTAATTTGACATCAAAATGTTCAGTTTTTATCTCCGCCGTTCACAGAATATTTTCCCAGTAGTGTTTAGGATTATAAAGATAAAGCAATTAGATAAGCTAGCTCTGTCCCAGGATGTCTAGGACAGAGATCTGTATCAGGAAGAGAGATACAGAAGCACTCTGGCTACGATTACTTCACTGCTGGACAATGTCTTCCCCCCATATATAAAGCTGTTGCTAAACTGAAAAACTTCTTTGACATACTTATGCATCTTGGGTGCACAATGAAGCATTATTGTAGTTTCTCCCTCCTCGCAGTTGTTAAGATTAAAACCAGTAATACCATGACTCCCAACAAACTTAAGTATTTACATTCCTGCTGTTATTTACACATCCCATCTGATCTTCATACATATTTATTTCTTATAAATCCTGTTGCTGCTTTCCAATAATACAAACACATTGTACATATTTTTAAAATACAATTTTTTGGTTCTGAAAATACAATTTTTAATAGCTGTACAGAAACACTCATCCTATGTTTTACCAGTTTACTATCTAAGGAGAAACACATTTTCACTGCTGTACCTGTCATAGTTTGCTTCAGTTCATATAATGTTTGAGTACTGACTGTTTATCCTGGGCCTGTGATGTTTAATGTGTTAAAAATAACTGCAAAGAAATCTGTTTAGAGACAGGTTCTTGTTCATTTCAGTAAACTCGTCTAGAGAAGCGAACTGCAGACTAAAGACAATGAAGAAGACTTTATTCTTTGTGCTGCGCTAAACTGGGAACACATATCACATCAAGCATCCACATGGGTTAAAAAGTGGATGGGGTACAGACACAGCCCCAGGCAAGGTTCAGTTAAAGAAGAGGCTTTCTCAAACAAAGACTCTGACTGTTGGCAGCGTATCCTGACATCAAGTGACATGCCATAAAGAAATAAATACAGTTTTTACATAAAACAACACAAATTTGAAAAGGATCATTGTGCTCACTGAGATTCCCAGACATGCATATCTAATTAGTTTTCTTGCCTTTGAAAAGCTGAGCTGGATGTGTGTCTTCTCACTCGAGCAGGCACAGCAGAGGCGGCAGCTGCTGCAGTGCATCTTGGCTGAAAAAAAATTACACTTGTATTTTTAATTTTTGCTGAAATTTAACGGTTCAAAGGAGAAAATATGCTTGAGATGCTTGGATACCAACCCTATGAGGTATGTCTTTTATATATAAAAAAAATACTGATTAGGATATTTAATCATAATTTGGTCCAGTTCACTGTCTTGACTCCAGTTATAATATCTTTAACAGTTGATTTAGTTGATTTTTGTAAACCACACGTGTTGAGAGATTTTTTGGCGAATATTCAAGCCAAACGGAGGAAATTTAAAATGTAGACCTCCAAATGTGAGATGGATTACAGCGGCTCCGCTCCATTTAAAATGCTTTACAGTCTGACAAACACTGTCTCTGAAGTTGTTTGTTTGTGTATGTGTTTGTGTATTTGTGTGGGTGTTGTGTGGGTCTGCCTGCAGATATATATTTCTGGCTCATTAATGCTGGCAGATTAATGAGCCTTAGATATCAAATTGAACTGCAAATTGTGTGCAGAACTGGATGGCAACACTTGACACCATCTTAAATTAAGTTGTAAAGCATGTTGAAGCATTTCTTCATTATATTGGTCTTATTTTGAAAAGTAATTTAATTTGATAAAATAAAACTGTAGCAAATAGGGAGGCAAAGATACATCCAGAAGAAAAACAGAAAAAAAATGTCTTCACCGTTGGAGTAAAGTGTATACAAATCATGAACTTTGGTTTAAATAAAGTGGAACACTGTATTCGACTAAAGGTTTGATTTATAGTTTGGATGGTTGGTTCTGAAGGCAAAAAACATTTAAAATACTTATTTTCTTGTGTTTTCACAAATAGAATAAAAGCCTGAGTGTTTTAAAGAATCATAGTTCAGTGTAGAAAAGGAGAGCACAGTACAAGATCAATGGGAATGAGATGAAACCAGAAAGATTTTAACAATATTTTCAGGAAAACTTAATGACACCAGGAGTGTCTCTGTGTGTCTTATCAATTAGCGCATGTCAGTTGTCACATAACTGTTCAGCCAGCCACTGTACATGGCTGGCTGAACTGGACCAAGATGGAGTTGAGTACTGGACACATCAGACATGAACAGTCAAGATCAGAAACCATCAGCCAGATGCTCTGCGTGTGGATTGTTGCTTCACACCTAAGAATCCCTTTTATTGTTGCTTCACACCTAAGGGATTCTTAGGGATTCAGACCTAAGAATCCCTTTTAAATAACCTTTTCTTTGTTTGCTTAACCCTCCTGTTATGTTTGTTCAATAATGTTCAATAATGTTCCTGGGTCAATTTGACCAGGAGAGTGTTCAGTCATGCGATAGTGTCAGAAACCAAAAAAAAAATGCTCCGAAACATTTTTGTATCTGTTTGTTAACTAACTATTTCAATTAATATTTGTGCAGTGATGTTTTTTTTTATTATTTCTCACAAATAAAGGATCAATGATGACAACTCAGTCATTTACTCATTTGGACATAAAAAATGAAATTTACAAACAATAATTGTTCTTAAAATTGAGAAATTATATTTAGACTTATTTTTCCAGTGGGTGATCTTTATAATTGAACTTGAGACACATATACTGTTTTGGGTCAAATTGACCCGCTGATTAAAATAAAGTTCAGTGAGTCATGCAAAGAATATTTATGTTTTCCCCCCCCACTTCTGCTGAATGTCCACTCGGTGTGCGTGGAGTTTGTCCACGGGAACAGAAAAGGTTCCCATCAAAAGTTGTATGAAAACCTGCTTTCTCGCAGTTTCCTAGTGAAGTAAAGAGAATAGTGAGAAAGTGGGCTTGTGTGCATGTGTGTGTGGTGAAATATGTCTCATGGGTACAAGGAAACATATAGAATTGGACATTCTTTGACCTTTTTTACATTTCAATTTGAAGGGTAGAAGAAAGTAGACGCAGGGATTGGTGTAAATGTGTAAAATGAACCATTTTCAATTTATTTGTAGAGGGTACTTATTAAGACAAATAGAAAAAGATTCATGCAGAAAAAATACTTCCAACTGTTAAAAAAAAACAAACTTTAAAATGGGTAAATTTGACTCGTAACATAACAAAAGGTTTAAATGAATTTGTCACATTTAAAAATTAATTAATTGGAATTAATTCATTTTAATTCCAAAATTAATTAAATGTGTTCTGTCATGTTTTCAAAATACAATAAAGATTTTATTTCAAGCTGAATTTAGATTTATTTTTTTTTGTTGCTTTTACTTTTTTTGTAATTGACTTTGTCCCCTAGCACAGCAAAAAGTATTTTCTTGACACCTCTGTCAACACAGCAGTCTCACTCAGGAAATACTTCCTTATATGCTTCCCAATGAAAGCCTCAAATACTTGTAAACTGTAATTAATTTTTTAATTTAGCCACTCATTTTAACATGTGCAGCTCATAATAGTAGTTTAAGCTTTCATCAAATAAAGTCAAAGGGGGACAGAGATAGCGATTTATCAGACACATTCCACTTTGATGAGAAATATTTTTGCGACAACTCGGATGTTTAAGTAAAACCGTTCCTTTGTTGACCTTCTTTTACCCATTAGGTGTCACCCTGATCTCAGAATATTATGTTTTCTTAGTGTAATGTTTTCTGCTTTCTATCAACAGGTTCAGACCCATTTGGAAAATCCAACCAAGTACCACATCCAGCGCTCGCAGCAGCAGCAGGTGAAGCGGTACCTGGGAAAGCTTGGTTCCCAGGCGTTGAGCTTGCCCTGCCCCAACCAGTCCTCTGACCACGGGGGCATGCCGCCAGGGCCGGGCAACAGCGCCCCCAACAGCCCTATGGCCTTACTGACCCTCAACTCCAACTGCGAGAAAGAGGTGTGAGCGGTCTCCATGTAAACAGGTTGTGCTTTCACATTTCGTGTTAATTAATTAATTGAACCTCGGCTTTTGTGTTTGATTGTAGATGGATGATGTCATTGACGACATTATTAGTCTGGAGTCCAGTTACAGTGATGAGATCCTCGGCTTGATGGATCCTGGACTGCAAATGGCAAACACGGTGTGTTTCTGGTGTATTACTGTCAGCACAGAGCTGTCTGTGAAAGGTCGCTACATGTAACAGATTGAGAATAAATGATCTGCATGCTAATGGAAGTAGCCTGACATTTCAGAGCAATTTTCATGTGGTTCTGCACATGTATTTTCTTTTTTCAGTAATGAACAGAAAATATATGGTAATTAATGAGTGCAGTAAGTGCTTCGTGGCTAATTGACCGATCACAAAGTGATGCCATTTGCCTGACTGCAATAAAAACCCTAACATCAAATTTGACATTTTTCCCCTGCATTGTCATTCTGATCACTGTGGTTTGATAAGCCTCTCATAAAGATAGACGTATTCTCTCCATCACTCCCCCAGATCCCTGTACCTGCTAACCTCATGGACATGTATGGTAATCAGGGCATGCCTCAGCAGGGCCTGCCCATCAGTAACTCCTGCCCTGCCAATCTTTCCAACATCAAAAGGGAATACTCAGGTGAGCAGGAAGCAGAGCAGATCTTAAACAGACAGTGGCTAAGGGTTTAAATTTATAATTCTTTAACAATATTTCCTGCGTGGGGGTTGGGATAACGAATATATATATATATACATGCTTGTTTTGCACTGATTGTTTAGCTTTCTTGTCATTTGTTACATAGTGTCTCAATCCCCGGCCATTATGCACATGCTGGACAAGTCTGGATCCTGTGGAAAATTTGACACCTATCAAAGGCCAGAAGGATTCCCTGTGGGTACGTCTCAGTATTTATCTCTGAACTATACAAAACCAGTGTTGTTTCTTTTAAATCACTTGTAAAGCATTTATTGCACCCTTAATTTTAACTAACCGAAGCATTTTTCCAGAAGCTGAGGTAAGAGCCCTGGCAAAAGAGAGGCAGAAGAAAGACAACCATAATTTGAGTAAGTTCCAACTGCAGCATCCTATTTTATTTGCCAAAATTATCATTTGACAAACTATTTTGCTTGACGCACCATCCAAATATCTGAAAGATCCTTTTTAACGATTTCCTTATTTCTAATACATTTTGATTATATTTATTTCTACATCCAAAATCTAGAACTATAAAACAGTAAAAATACAAAAGCAAGCAGAACACAGCTGAAACTTGACAGAGAGATGACCTCATATGCACCAATCTATGGCATCAATGCAAACATTGACCATGCCAGGTAAAAGAAGCAATGGTGAAGTATTGAGTGATTTGTAGGAGCAATTATTGATTTGTCCATTGAGAAGCTAGAAGTAAGGAAATATTTCTGAACTGCCTGCAGAATTTTGGTAAATTCTGCAGGGATTGGAACAGCGTCAAGAATAAACCACAGTTGCATATTGGGAATCTGTTCTACCACACTATGTACTGCCCCACTTTCTCCTTCATTTACTTGTGATACTCAAAGAAATGAGTGACTACTGCACCTAATAATAGTACATGGAGATGGACTATTTATAGAGTTGTAGTTTATAGAATAATGTGCGGTCGATATCAGATATGTTGTACCGACAGCAGCCTCAGAAAAGTTTTTCTTCCAGAAGGAATGTTCTCTTTGGTTGTCTGACTGCTGACTTATTGTTCTTATCATTAACATCAATGATCGTATCAATAGCATGAACTATGTAATTTCTATCTCCCAGAACTTTTTTCTGTTCTTTGAATCCAATATATTTGAGTCGTTTCAAAGAAACAAGAAACAACTCTCACACTATTTTTCACAAATTTTTCTTGCGTTTAAGATCTTTGAGAAAAGTAAAAGTAAAAAAACTGCATATTTTTTTGAGTTGCCAATAAGTGACCACACATCCTCATGACAAAAGTTTATTTAGAATATATTTTAATTTCAGAGAATAGTAAAATTTTTGCTGCCGTTTCATTTCTCCTGTTAACTACACAAAGACAACGTCTTTATAGAATATCATGTATTTCTTATTTTAAAATAATGTAGAGCCAATGGGATATTTTTTTTCATATTGAACTGTTTTAAGTTTCTGGCTCTGAAATAGCACAGTTGCTCTTTAATAAATCCTGGAGCTATGTTTGTTTAATTCCTTGCTTGTTTTGTAGTTGAACGAAGACGACGATTTAACATCAATGATCGTATCAAGGAGTTGGGAACTTTGATTCCAAAATCCAATGACCCGTAAGTTTCCCATTGCTTTGATTTCACTTCAGAAATCTTGAAAAAATAAACTGATTCATATTTTCTTTGGAATGTTGTATTCTCATACCTCATATCTGAAGATTATTGCAGTATTTGGTTTCAGCAATTGATTGTGAAGATAAACTATAAACATAAAAGGAATAGAAAAGTTAAACCTGTTCTAGAGTACATATAAAAAAAAAATCTGTATTCCTTTAATATTAATTCTTTTTTTTATTGCAAAGTCTCCTCTCTATGTTGCTATCTCTGCAAATAGAAACTCAAGAAAACATTGTTTTAGGAAACCCACAAGGGGGATTTTGTACCAGAAAACACTGTAACATCTGAGGCAATGCTCTTGATTTGTGTAACTGATGAATTCTTGTATTAGCTGCAGCTGAACTTTAAAACTACACATTGGTGTATTTGATAACCCATGTTCTGCTTGAAGGCTAAATGTGACCTTTAGTGAATCAGTAAGGGTCTCTGCACAGTCTGTGGTTAACCCTGAATATTACAACGTTTGCTAGTTGTTTGAAAGCCCTACTTTTTGTTCTGATAAACCCACTCCCCTCAGACATTACCATTATATGTCTAAATATAATTCATTTTCTCTGATATTATTCTTTTTTAAGTAATCTTAATTTAATCCTCACATCTTATTGTTTCAGCCTGTGATGTTGCAGCTCTGAAGCACACTTTGCTAGTCTTGCTCTTAGCATTTTAGAGGTTTGCAATCTGAAGCATTGCAATTACATGTTGTTAAATACCAAAAGTTTCTCATTGTTGTCTGAAAGCAACTCTTAAGGTCAAGAATGCTGACCGACATTAAAATGTCAAGCCAAGGAATAATGGCATCTTTGTGATTTTTAGAGACATGCGCTGGAACAAAGGCACCATCCTGAAGGCATCAGTGGATTACATCCGAAAGCTGCAGCGTGAACAGCAGAGGGCCAAGGAGCTGGAGAACCGCCAGAAAAAACTTGAGCACGCCAACCGACATTTGATGCTCAGAATACAGGTATATATATCAAGAGAACGGCGTAATGCCCTTCATACTGTATGCGTAAACCTGTACTGTGCCTTTAAAAAGAATTCATACTCCAACAACTCTTTCATATTTGATCATTTTACAAACACAAGCTCTATTTGAATCAATTATGACAGACCAGCAGAAAATGGCGCATATTGTCAAAACTGAATACAGAAAATATATTTTCACTACATTTTATGTGCTTGAAAACAAATGCATGCAACGCATATCTGATTTTTATTTATATAAATGTTTGCAAACTTTGCCTGTCTTGGTCTGTCACTAAAATTCTAAGAAAAGACATTTAAGTTTGTAGTTGGGGGACAGGAAATAAGTATAGAAATGTTACGGTGAGAATGTAAATGTCTCTTTAAAGGAACCTCATCTCTGCTAACCAGTTTGACAGATGGGTGTGCCTGGCACATCCATCTGGTTTGTGTGAAAGACGCACAAACCTTAAGACACTCTCCTGTGTGCAAATGACTGTACCTTGCAGGAGTTGGAGATGCAGGCTCGGGCTCACGGTCTGGCCATCACATCCTCAGCACTCTGCTCTGCCGAAGTTGGGGTGCGGCCCATTAAGCAGGAGCCCGCTCTGGAGGACTGTCAACAAGACCTGTACGCGCTCCACCCTCATCACCAACACCACCCCGCCTGCACTCCGGAGCAACCCAGCACGCTGGAGCTGACCGACGGTCACTCCAACTTCCCAGAGGGCCACTACAGCAGCGTTCACGGCAAAGCAGGATCCAAACTGAATGACATCCTCATGGAAGACAACTTATCACCTGTCAGAGGTGGGGACCCTTTGCTTTCTTCCGTCTCCCCAGACACTTCAAAGGACAGCAGTCGCAAGAGCAGCGTCAGCATGGATGAGAATGAAGAAGGCTGTTAGCGCACCCTAGTGGTAGATACCTTTTCTGTATCTTTAATCTCTCCATCTTGCCAGAACACAAGAGGCTAACACAGTTGCTGTTATTCTTTTTTTTGTTTTTTTACCTTTCTTTTCATTTTTATTTATGTTTACATGTTGTATCGCCTTCATTTCCTTCTTTTTTCCCCTATTGTATGTCTTTCTAAGCTTTCAACCTTGAATACTGATTTCAAAGTATTTTCTTTAATCAATGCTTTGGTGACAATGAGTTACAAAAATTAGATGTTTTTATATTTACAAACTATACAGTTATCTTTCGATAGAGATTAGATTGTGTGTTTGTTTTTTTTCTATCAATTCCAAAGAATCTAGGGAAACTATAAATCACAGTCAGAGGTGTAGATATTTGTGGTGAGGTAAAAACTGCTTTGAAAATCAGTAGCAATAATAGAAAGAAGGATATTTATTACTATAGTGCTTTACACTCCTTGTGTCTTAGATTGAACTTGAATGTGCCGATGCCTTATTAAAAAGTTTGTGCATTATTGTTGTATTGCTATGCATACATTAGCTGATTCTCTGTCGGTCTTCCCGGTGAAATTACTTGCTTGATAAATATTACACGTTTGTTGATTTTATCCTATTTATGAGTCTTTATAGAGATAATTTTATCTAAACATTCCCCTGAAAAGTGTATTTATTTAAAAAGGACAGAGAGAAGCTGAAATAATATTTAAAAATATCTCCCCAAAATCTCCTTAAAGATTTTTAAAATACACAAATTCAACACTTTTACTTAGCATTATGAGAAAACATCAAACTACAAAGAGACTAAAGTTTCAGCATAATGCCTTTTAACTACAAAGTGCTCTTTATTTTGATACGCTGAAATAGATAAATTACCAATATATTCTTCACTGCCAAAACCACAAAAATACTAAATAATTCAGTGATTCTTGAGAAGAGGGAGAAAATGGGTTTAAATCCCCCCCACCCCCCAAATTAAAAAAATGATTCCTCAAGCTTATGTATTCAAATATGACAAATAATGTTTTGGAAATGTAAAGATACTAAGGTGCAGGCTCCCAGTTGCAACATTGTTTTGAAAATTAAATGTTTAATGGACCTGACCCAGAACTTTGTCAACCCCATCAGACAAAAATAATTATACAATTATTTTTTAATAACCCTATGAGTGATATTTTTACTCAGCTTTACAGACAAATGCTTCTAAAGAAACAAAATAAATATTATTTAAAACAAAAAACAACATAAAGTCCATCTGACGGAGTTGACACAGAACTGAAGGTGGTGACGAACTAGTCAGTGAAAAGAAATGCTTGATATATGTGAAGTTATGCCATTGATGTGAAATACATTAAAATGAATTAACTACACATTTGAGTGAGATTTGTCCACACTATCACTGAAAGAGTCACACTGGGTTAAAAACTCTGATGGAGCCGACAAAATGCCAAACTACCTCAATTTATGTGACATTATTCTGAAGGGCTGAAGTCTATATGACAGACCACAGCTCATCAGGGCCATTGAGTCTTTACAGTTTACCAAAATTAAGCATTTATTTCAGAATATTTCAGCAAAATTTTGTAAATTGATAGTTACGGTGTTGACACATCAGGGTTGTGACGAACAACTTCGGCATAAAATGGAAGAAAGAACAAAAGAATAACATAAGCCCATCAAAGATGCCGAGCCCTCTTAGCAAAGGAAGAGAAAGGAAGAGGTCATGAGGTCCTTAGACGCTCTGATGCCCCCCAATAATGCCTGCTTTTTTTTTTTTTACATTATTTTCATGTCTGATGGCATTGACAAAAACTTGGGACACATTTTAATTGAGTTGGAAAATAAATACAAATGATTTTTAATTGAGTTTGTTGATACATTTATAATTATTTATTTGAATACTTATATGTAATTGTCATAATAAAAAAAATGTTTTTGGTACATTTGATGCAAATTTTGTGGTTAATCCACAGACCTGTTTTGTCCCTCTTCTGAAAAATCACTGAACTAACAAAGTTTCAAAAATTGTCTCGAAATATGAGAGTGAGTTTATTTAAACAGTAATAAGACACACAGGATCGTTGGAGATCTTAGCACACAGTAATGAAACACTGCAGAGGTATTGCTCTCTATCCTCAGATTTTTTATATGTCGTATTTCAGTAACATTTTACATTCAGGGCGCTTTTTTGTTTGTTTGTTTTTTATCAGCATGAAAAATGTTTAATGCTGAGGAGAATAAGGAGACTGATTTTGTCTGAAATGCATAAAATTGTCCAAACACTGGATTAAAACTGAAATGTAGCTTGTTAGGCTTTGTGCAGAAACGTACAATGTTTTACTTGAGAGTTGAGTAACCGAAGTACACATGTGCTGTATATTTCTGCAGTTTGCAAACGTTGTTACTGAATAACCTTGTGCCATTACTGATATCTCTAACACAGCACAGTCTTCGTTTTGTCAAACTATGCAATGTTTGAAGTTGTGCCTGTGATGCATCATGTCTTGAAGTTGTCATTTACGTATGAAGTAGCCTTAGACAGTAATAATTCAATTTCTATTTCATTTAAGTGCCTTCTGTTACCTTGGTGATATACGAGGAATCATGCAATATTTTGAGACTGATTATGCTGGTATTTGGTGCTTTATAGACTAAGAGATAAGTTTTCCAATCCCTTCCAAAAGTGACAGGAAATGACTTTTGGTCAGTGTGAGAAAACAAACTACATCTCTTAAACTCAACAACCACTAGAAATTATTTGCTACACACTTCAAAGTGTTCAGTATGCAATGAAACCCAAAACATTTCATTAAATTAGTAAGTCCATATTTTAAATATGGATTTTTACAAGTAGAAATTACAAAGTACTTCACAAAGAGTGTGAATAGCAAAACATGTTTAAATTCAAACATGATTAAAAAGACAAAGATGTAATTAAATTAGCATATATGACAGACTGCAATGTATTTTTACAGTAAGTATTTAGCTCTTAGATGCAGAAAATGTATTTTTTAGGGTCACAAACTCTCAAGCTTTACTTTTATTTCTGAAAAGATAACTGGCTTGTCCCTGTGAGCTAGACCAGGGGTACTGACTCGCACAGATTAACGTTTACGACAACTAGCCTCCAAAAGCTAAATTTAGACAACAGTGCCTCTGTGTAAACAAGATGAAAATGATGAGGAATAAAGTGGAAAAATATTCCTACATAAAAATATCTAATAGTTTTGTGGTTGAAAAGCTACGTTTAAAAAAGTTTTCAATTTAACGGCCAATCAAAGCATGCAGACATATGCAGAAGTCATTTTGAATTTTCCTTTTCTTGGTTAAATAAAGACAAGAACTGGCCAACCTGAAATAGCTTTAAAAATATGTCTACTAACAAAAGTTTTTGGAAGGACACAAGAAACAGAGGAATTAATTTGCAGATTAGAAACAGAAACCACCACTGTCTCCAGCTAATACAAAATAAGTATTTATTGAAATAAAAAGGTTCATTGTGGAAATTTTGTGTGAAAGTAACAAATAGCTTATGGGATGGAATCATGGCCTCTTTACTTTGACTTCCACTTTATGACTTTACTGCCACTAACAGGTGAACATTTCTGGATTCCGGAAAGAACTCCTTGAAAACTCCTCAAGCCCAAAGACCTGAAGGTTGGAAAATATCGACCTTCGTCATTTGAGTCTATCCCCCAATCTGAATTGTGACCAAATACCTTTCAAATTGAAAAGACCATTTTTATACTGTCCTTTTTACTCCCAATTATAAAATGTTAACATTTAGTTAAAAATACTGTAGGCTGGTTTTAGCATTAGCTTGGGAAAAAAAATGGCAACATAATTGAACCACTGTTTGTTGTTGTCTTTAAATACAGCAAACATATGTATTTATTACTGAACACTTTTAAGCTTCAGATATTGCTGTTGTACTGTGTGTTCTTAGAATAACACTGAACATTTAAAATCTTTCTGACTGTAGCATGAATGTAGTTGAGCAATTGTGCCAACAATGACAGATGCAGTATATTTATACAAACTATAGGTTTTGAGCTGCTGATGGTGTCTCTCATAACCTTTTGCCAGAAACAGGAGCTGTAATGCTAGTCTGTAAAATACAGTTTTGGTGAACATTGTTTGTTGAGCAGTATGAAAGACGTGGTGCCAAGAGTAACTTTTTTTTATTATATATATTTTGTCGCATTTTACCATGTGTCACACAGTGTTACAATCTACTGAGTACACTCTGTACCAACTCATTGAAAGCCAGTAAAAAAGCTTGTATGTGACCGTTGTGTCACTGCAGATGGACCCTTATGATTGTAAGATTTAGGGTAATAAGAATAATACACAACCTTTCAATCAAGAGCAGGTAGCTCTTGGTTTAAAGGTTGCCTGTTGCACTTCAATATACTGTGGTGTGTTTTAAATCCACTAATGAAGAATCATTTTATCTCGGCACTTGAGTGTCTGAACAAGTTTATTCCTGTGGTTCATAAAGTGTTCTACTACTGTTTTCATTGTCACAGTTATTAAGAGATAAGTGTTGCAATACTTACTGCGCCCACTGATTTGTTAACTCACGCTCATTGGTACTCGATGTTAAACTACTCTGTTAGAAATATTAAAAGATTTATTTGAACCTTTTGACTGCGTGTTTTATCTGCGATTTTAAAACTATTGCATATCTAATCATTTAAAGAAAAAAAATGTTGCTCCTTAGGGAGATTCACACAGTTGCTAAATATGGTAAGTTATACTATTCCTCAGCTATTACATTCATAGGCTGTAAACATGGATGCTGTTCAAACTTTGTTAAAAATCACTTGCAATATAGTTATATATCTTTAAGCATATTCTGTAGAGATGTATTTTCTAACCTTATGAATGCATTTCAACTCAAGTATTAATAAAATCTCTTCTTAGACTTACCATGATGTTGCCATCATGTCCCAATTTTTCATGGACCATCTTTTGAACATGTAAAGACACAGAATATGGAATTGCAGTTAGCACTGCTGATTTTGTTTGTTTTATTAATATTAGTTTATCTGGTTACTATCAAAGGTAGAAAGTTCTTCAGTCCACTTCTGAAAGGCTTGACATATGACATTGTCTTCTATCATGTCATGGAAGATTTCTGTAAAATTAATAAAATGATTTTTTTTTTAATTATTCTATTTTAATTATATTACTGACGATGGTAATTAAACATGTCAGCACATCAAATACAGGTAAAAAAAAAAAGTATTACTTTACCTGCTCTTCCAAGGCCCGTTGGCAGAGGCATCCTGAGGGAGCCAGCTGAGTGCCTCAGACGCTCCCTGAAAGATTTCTGCACCAGGACCAGGGAGCAGTCCTGGTGCCACACAGGTAGCTCCAGACCCAGCATACACTGAATAATGCGGCTCTTCTCCTGTGTCGTCAGAAGCCCCTTTTGATGAGCCACATACACCATGAAGGACATATCAATGCTGACTGCCTCCCCATGAAGCAGCGCTGGCAAAACCCTCTGGGAAAAAATGGAAACTCTTTAGCTGCACTCATTAATTACAAGATGAATTGTTTGCAAATGCATTTCTGCCAGTGTTTACTGAATTCCCACAATAAATGTGAATTTTGCATTCTTTAAAATGTGTATGACTTGTTTTTATGTTTTGGGGGTTTTTTTTTTACCTGTTATGTTTTAAGACAAATTGTATGACTTATTCTTCATTTTGTGTTCCAGAAGTTTCCCCGTCTGATTAACATCCTTTGTTAGTTTGTATAGTGGCACAGTAAAATATATTGAAAACTGTTCGTTTACCATTTCTAGCTCGGGGCTGATAATGTGGCCAAAATCAACCAGCCGATCCAGATCATCCTCCCACAAATTTGGAGCCAGTTCCTCCAGCATCGTTTCTATGGCGATGCGCATGGACGCTGCAGCACCGTCTCCCTGTTCGGAGCCACCGCAGGCCTCAGAGGGCTGCAGCTTGGCATGCAGCATTTTTCTGCCGTTCACCTCGAGCAGCTCAAACAGGCCACGGTGCTTCATCAGGGCCATCTGAAATCATTACATCAATACGCTCACTATAAAAGCTGAATGTTTCATAAAATCAGGCATAAAACAAATTTGCGAAGTTCAACTTGGTCCAAACGGACGTGTTTAACGAATATATTCTACACGGCCACATGCATCCTTGTAAGAAAAGAATGTAAAGGATATTTTCTAATGAAAGGTGAACCACTTAATTGTTTTAGTTTTTAGTGAACAGAACAATTCACAAGGGAATAAAACAAAAGTTGTAAAAGTGGCCACAAATGAATTAATGTGGCGTACTGTAAAAACCTTTTTTAAATAGTGAAGCATAAAATGAAACATATGTTTGATTAATTCCACTAATAATAATACTAAAAATATATATTAGCATCAAGTATTAATTTAATCTAGTATAAAATCTTATGAAAGATTCATTTTAAATTATTCTATAATTTAAAAAGTCTTAGTGATGGCTGCTAAGTGGTGCAATTTTTGGTGCTGCAGCCTTGCAGCAAGAAGGTGTTTCTGATTTATGAGAATTTACAAGGTGGTTGAATCACATCAACACCTCCTAAAATGTGTTTGAACCGAGTTGGTCTGCATGCTTCACAGAAACCCTACAATTATTGTTCCTCATGCAAGACGTTCATCAATCCATGCTCAGGAACAGACAAGCACCTTCAGCATCTCCGCAAGTCCGTTGGAGATCTGCCGCAGAGGCAGAGTTTGGAAGAATGAGCTGTCTAAAAATGTCGCCACTGGTGGAACGTAGCTTCCCAGCTTGTTTTTCCCCCCACCAAAGTTGACCCCAGTTTTTGCCCCGACGCTGGCATCAATGTACGACAGCAGAGTCGTCGGCACCCTGATGTACGGCGTCCTTCGTCGGTAGAGCGACGCTGCGAGGCCAACGACGTCCAAACAGACTCCTCCTCCGAGCGCGATGATTGGCTCCGAGCGTCTGTCGATCCCAAACTGGTGAACTTCCTCCAGGATCTTGGTCACTAGCTCCATGTTCTTCCTCTCCTCAGTGGTGGGCAGAGGGAGAATCTTGTGAATGACTCCTTTGGCGTCAAAGTACTGGGAGACCTTGGAGCCGTACAGTTCATGCACAGTTTTATCAATGACAATAAAGCGTTTCACAGGTTTGCAGTGACTCGTGGTGCCTTTAAGTTCTCCGTCTTCTGTGTGTCCCCAGAGCAAAGTGTCATTCCTGGGGTCCAGGAGGTTTTTACACTGAATGACTCTGTAGGTGAAAACAATGGGGCTCACCACCGTCCAGGAAACTCCTTGGTCCGATTTGTTCTCATAGCTGAACGTCATTCACACCAAAGTCACAAAAGGAAGAATTGATTTAGTGTTTGGCATTATATTACAATCAAAACTACATTTTATATGTTGTGCTGGCTATTAATTAAAGCCTTTTCATGCCAGCGTGATACAGAGAAATAGTGATAGTAGAACTTGGAAGGATTTTTAAGGGTCATATTATTGCTTCAAATACTTTGTCTCTGAATCCAAAATGCAGGTCTAATGCACATCTGTTTTTGGGACGTTTATTTCAATTTTTATTTGAATTTGGTTCTTAATCAATTCAATTTCTTTTCAATTCTTGTATCTGGCAATATTCTGTGTAATGTCTGCTTGGGAATGAATAAAGCAGTCGTGTTAAGTAAGCATCAGGCCTAAAACCGATTTACTAGATGAATATTAAGTGAAAGTCATATCTCTGGGAAAAAAAGACAAAGGGTCAATCAAAGTCACAGCACAAGGTAACCATTCTTTGTCTTTGTGAGGCATTTTTTTTTCTTTATAGAGTCAACCTAAAAGTAATAATAATAATAATTTGAAAAAACTTTATTTTTTTTAATTCTCTGTGGATCCAACTGAAAATTCTCATTTTTACTTTTCTGATGATTTAATATTATTTTATCCTTTCAGTTTAGTTAGATTTAAGGTGTCCAAAGAAAAACTTCAAAAGATCTGCAGAAAGAATCGAGAAATTTTTATCGGAACCAGTTAAAGCTTTTAGTGAAACCTGATGATTTGGAAATGAAATATGAATGTTGGCTCAAAACTTTTTATAGCACTGTATAAATTGTTCAGAACTGAGGTTTTTGTGGGGAGCTGCTAAATCTGGGGTTTTGTAACCAAAATATGCATCATTTTCAACAGTCTCACTTAAATTAAAATAAAGTCTTGCATCATTAACATGGAAACTGCTCTCTTCTGGCATGTTCAACATGGTGCAGCAGCCTAAAATAGAAAGGCATTTCCACTCACTCTGTCCATGGACTTGACTACTGTAAATATGAGGGTGTACTGTCTACGTACAGTGGGCTTGAACATAAACTAAATGTAACACAGATATACTTTATGAAGGAAACTTGGTCATAACTTAGAAGGGACAGTGTTTTTATTCACTAAGATCAACATCAATACTGTGAACTTCTTGTAACCTGACGGTCAGTTTCCACTGTAGGTACAATTTTTGCACAAAACATTTTCGTTCACCGTATACTTACATTTTAGCATCTGAAAGTTTTCCCTCCTTGTCTTGGCACTGTCCAGTGCGACGAGTCCACGTTCCATTCACTTGGACAAGCTTGAACTCTGTTCCCTCTGAACAGCTGGTGTTGCTTGAATTCATGTTTCCAGAGTCGCTGCCTTCACATGCGGCCGCTTTGCTTCAAGAGGCGACTTACAGGATGCCAGTGAACATGATCACAGCTAAAAGTCCAGTAACCCCCCACTTAGCGCACATGAGTTTATTACAGTACTTGTTTTCTGTGCTCAGGGTTTAAGATTTTATTACAAGCATGTGCATTTATAAGAGTGGAGATATTGAATCAAAATTTTTTTTGAATGGATGAGTTTTCCCATCCACAGTTCTATCGTTTTGTGACCTTTGGGTTGAATAAGTGAGTGTATTCTGTATAAATGGACTTACATCCCTTCCACTACGTTCTGTTTTAATAGGTTGATGTGTGTGTTTTTAATGGAACCTTAGTAGAAGATGAAAACTGACTTTGGACTGTCTGCAACTGTGTATTTACAGGTCGTAAAAAGTTAATCAGGCATCTGCAGCACGCTCTATATTCAGTTGCTGGCGTCTCGACCAGCAGGAAAATGGATGAAGTGGTTTCTTGTCACTTTTGAAAAATCTGCTCCTGGTCTCTAAAGCAGTACATGGTCTTCCACCAGAATGCGTTTGCGTATAGGTTGTCAAGTATGCACCATGTAAATGTGTCAAAGGCTATTTCCTTCTGTTTACAGTGACTTTAGGAAATCGATTTTTATTGAATAATGTTATTGATATTGTACTGTTTTTGCAACTAACTGTCTAACTGTGTTGTTGCCTTTGGTAAAAGAGGTCTTTGAGCTCAAGGAGTTTTACCTTGGTTAAATGAAGGTTGATTGAATTTTTTTGTGTTTACTGCAGATTTTGATTACAAAATTTGATTTATGAACTTTTTGAAACAGTTATTTCTTTTATGCCTTCATGCTGGTGCTTTATTATATTTATCTTTCCTTTGAGGCATTTTTGATCGTCTTGTGTATGAATAGTCCAACATGAATAAACTTAACTTATAATTTGGTGTATTTATAAATACAGTTAAATTGCTGTTTTGAACTAGTAAATCTGATTAAATTATTTTCATTCTCTTTGCTTTTTTTCCCCACATAAAGAAATCTAAACTCTGTGCCTGTTTTTTGTTGTTGTTGTTGTTCCTTAAATCTCCATCCAGCTGCACCAGATGTTAATATCTAACCTGGTTCTGTTGAAGTTTTCTTTTTAAGAGCGTCTCAACTCAATGGAACAGGCTGGATGATTTTAGATATGTTTTTTTTTTTCCAATTTTCATCTGATCAACTGAATTACACAATTTAATTTATGTGTAATCTCACAAACACAAATTTGATTCATTGATCAAATAGAGTCCATATAATATCTGAATTAAACATGTTCAATTTGATATGCTCTCAAAAAATAATTTTATTATATATTATAATCTAAATGAGCTCATTAGATTTAATAAACTGAAACACAATGAAAAACAATCTAGGAATAAATTACAAAAATCAGACATAATTTCACATAGATCATGAGCAATTTAATATACACAGAGATGCATTGGTTTACAATAATGATAAAATCTGTTTTATAATGTAATGTTCTTGAAAGGGTGAAAAACTTAAATATAAAGAAGCAGTGTATTCTTTTGATCAGCTGCATCGATTATACCTTGAATACAAACAGATCATGTTGGCAGTGAACATTTTCATTTTTTTTATAGCAACATTTTTCTTATGTCCTCTACAAATCTTTATATATAATGATTACTAAAAATAAAATCAGGTAGTGTGGCCCCATCACAGCGCAAAGCTGCAATTAAAACAAAGGAACTTTTATTGTTAAGTGCTAACTATCTGTGTTCCCTTTCCTTTGGCTTCTCTCATCATGGTCTTTTTTTATTGTGAAGAGATAAACTGTATAAAATGAGAAAAATCACAAACAGTTTCACAAACGTCTTAATGTGATCTCAATCACCTGTACAAAAACAGCTGAGAGCTAGATTACCAAACAAAAACTAATGCTCCAAAATTTTTATTATAATAATAATAATAATAATAATAATAAAAAAAAAAAGAAGGAAACAAAACTCTAAAGGACAGAGTGTTTGGTTACATAGATGAAGCTGCTGCTTTCTGGAATGCCACTTCACACATGTGAGTGATTTGGCGTCGCCGCGGAGAAGCTGGACCTAATCGTCAGAGAGAAGGCACGCGATCGAAATGAAGCTCGGACCTCTCCGGGCTGCCGTTGATTTCCTCCTGCAGCATTTCGGGGCTGTGGCCGTGCTCGTCTGTGCTCTCCGGAGACTCGTAGGGATAGTTTTCGCTGATCTCCTCGTCCTCTTGCTCCTCTTTAATGCTAAGGAGAGGATGCGCTGTCAGTACTGACGATTCAAACCAGCGGGGAGGAGTGCAGCGGAGAGGGTGGGGAAAGGGAGAACTTACAAAGCTTGAGGAGGGGACTGTGTTGCGCTGCTGTCACTTTGGTAGCCACATCCGTTAGCCAGCGCTCCGTTCATCTGCTCCTGGAGAACATGAGGCAGCGAATGCAGCGCGATGCTACCTATCGAGGCCGGGTTGTACAGGGAGTTGTTTCCATCTAGACAAGCATTCTGAGAGGGGGGAAAAGTGGCATGAAGTGTCTCAAACATTCCAATTTTCAGCTTCATCTTTCATAATACTAAGGTTTTAAAATGGGAGAAAAAAAAAAAAAACAACGCTTGAGATTGTATATCTGACCTGAAGAGCAGATCCGGGCAAGCTCTGGCGACTTTGAGAGTTCTTCAGCAGAGATCTATTGGCAAAAAGGTGCGAAAGAAATTATATATTAATTAGTTTCAGCCAAATGGGAAAATATTACAGTGTCTTCTAGATTCATTGGAACTCTTCAAAATGAACAAAGTTTCATAGTAGTAGTAGTAAATTTTTAATCTGAAGATTTTATCTTCAATCTAAACTGAATTTATTTGAAAAGTGAAAAAAAATTCTGTGCATAAATATATATATATATATTTTTTTTTTTTTAAACAAAATTACCATTAGCATGCTTAGCAGCATCCTTAGCAACTTTACAGGAGTGTTCAGGAAATTTTAATTAGTATTCCCACAATTTTTGTTTCTGCCACTCCTCAAAATAGAAAAGATGCCATCCTACTAAAGCAGATGCACGTTGAGCCTCATTAGTTAAACATTTCATAGGTAGAGACAAAGCAATGATTAGGTGGAGACTTCAAAAGACAAGAGAAATAAATGTACTTTTGCCTCACTGTAAATTTGAGAAAAATCTGAAATCCTTTATTTGTGTACATTTAGTTGGTGAGGAAAGCAGCAGAGAATATGTGCCAATCCCATTAAGGCAGGTCAAAGTTGACCCTCATACTCAGAAAATGGCTAAACGAATGTAGATGTTTCTGAGGTTCTACAAAAAACTGAAATTTCTCACATGCCTCTTTTTCACACATATATGTAACATGGATGCCTCCACAACTAGGCTCTTAATGTAATCAGATTAAAATGAAAATCTAAACTATCTCAAGCTGTGGATTCTTAAAGCAGTGAGTGAAAAGCTAACGATAATATTTTGGCATATTAGATTTTAGTTGAGATATTTTTTTTTTTCTCTGTAATTTCCCAAACAAAAAACTCCAGCAAAAATCCAAAGAGAAAGTTTTAAAAATTAATTTAATAGTCAGTTCCCTTTCATTTTAAATTTCAAATGTGGGCAAAGGATATCTAAAGAGCAGTTCTGCTTTTTTAATAACCCAATTCCTAATTTTGTGACACACAACACACTAAATAAAAGCAAACAAAAACAAGAGCATAACTTCTTGGTTTATTGCAAGGATTAAAGTTTTTTTTATAAGTTTACATTTATTTCTTTGTGAAACCTAGATCAGACAGCCTGTCACTTCCCACCTTAAGTTCAATGATTTATTTAGCAGAAGTCATCACTGATCCTTTCTGTACCGGCACTGACTTGATTTAAATCAAATATACTGTAAATCTTTCTCCTTCACTGAGCTGTTTACGGCGTTGCTCTTGTCATATTTTATTTAAAGATGTCAAGATGCCCTTCAGTGTCCTTAATTTCGCTACACAAACACAACAAATATACGCAATGTTAGAAAAGCAAACCCCCGGGGCTTCTTAGCTTCAACGCTTGCTTACAGTAAATATTGCAGGCATTCGTGAGGCCGAGTGGCAAGGTCAAGTTCTTTGATGTCTGCCACCTGATGTCTAGTAAGATGGGAAAGCACACAGCGTCCTGTCTTACTGTCTACAGTGTACATACCCGTTGCCAGCAGCCTTCTGAGGCCGCCGTCGGTGGAACTCGATCTCGTCTACCGTCCACACGGCTCCCTTCACGTTCTCCAGGCGCACAAAGCATTTATGCAGACTGAGGTTGTGTCTGACAGCATTCTGGAAGATTAAAGAAACACCTTGTGTCATGACACAAATCTCATGTAAATGACAACTAAATGTAAATTAGGTGCGGGGGATATGGACTAAAAGTGTTATCCCAATATTTGGTGGTAACACTGTATGTCACATTGATTGTCGTTCCACAAACACAAATATTGCTCTTGAACAACATTCCTATTTGTAATAAGTAAACTTCTTTAGTTTGATTAGCATCACTAACATGCACACATTAACAGCATTTCACAATATTTTAAAATGTATTTATACTTATTAATACACTTTTACTGAACTAACAGTGGAGAAAAATGTAGTAAAAATTACAATCCCAACAATTCGGATTGCTTTAAGAGCTTTTAAATGTCATTAATTCTTACAATTACAAATTTATCATGATAAATGATAAACGATACAATAAATGCACACCTCAAATGTTAACAAATGAGATGTTTTATGTTCGTATCTTTAAATGTGTTATGTGATGGATACCTTCCAAGTAGCTGCATTGCGCCTGAAATATGCAAAGTTCCTGGTGAACCAGTTATAGATTTCGTTTAACGTCAGCTGATTGCGAGGCGATTCAAATATAGCCTGAAACAGATAAAAAGGGAGTCAGAGTTACTGTTTTTACAGTGACCGAGTTCTGGAGCTATGCAAAAGAAAGATGAAAACACAAAATATTGAAG